ACCTTTAAGTATAAAAGCATTTTCAAATTCAAACATCAGACTCTTACCCTGTCAGCATTTTGCCACTAAGTAAAACTCTGCCTTTTACCTGGGCAAGACTTCATGGTATCTAATAGATTTTTCTTCTTTCCTGCTTGCCCGTCAGCTTGTATGTTATGCCGCTTTGATTCCCACAAGGCACAATCCAATGCTTGTTAGATGCAAAAACGGCTTCCCATCCCAGGAAGCCCCAACTAGCCAAGCCAGGGTCTGTACCTATTTTGTCTATCTAAAGATACATAGGATTGTGCTCATATTGTGGCATCTTAGGTTAAGTTGTTGATGACTTTAACTTTGTTTTAAATACTGAACTGTATTTATATTTAAATTGTATTCTGAATTTTAAATACAGAAAATTTAAATAACTCAATGCTCAGGCACATCAGTAGTCCCAGTAACTCTCCCAACCATCCATCCTGCACATGAGGTCAAATTTTCATGAGAATACAGAAACCCCAAGAATTCAATGGTCATTCATACAAATATGTGTTATTGCAGGGTAACTGGACAACAAATTGGTGTGAATCCTCCTGAAAAATGCACCTGAAAAGGTATGTTCAGTTATTAGTCTTGGTGCCTATGTATCTGTGTGGCAGAGGGACTATCCCCCCAATACTGCAACTCTGACTGCCAGATTGTCAGCTTCCGGGAGACCCCGGAGGTTCTAGTCCCTAAGCAGTCCAGAAGTTCACTGACTGACTTTGCACCAGTCATTCACTCTCAGATATCCTGCCTCACTGGATTCTTGCTGTGAGGATAAAATGGATGGGAGGAGTAACTATGGAAGTTGCCCTGGGTTCCCTATAAGAGCGGGGGAAAGGTGGGATATAAATGCAACATTATTATAATGCTTTGACTGCAACTATCTTCAATGAGAGTTGTTACGAGAGATGTGAAGGCCTGGAAACCCTCCCCAAAAAGGATTTTTAAAAGTCTTTTGGGGGGACAGTGGCGCCGAGGATAGTCTCTGCCCTTTTTCTGAAGATTAGAGAGCTTTGGATGAAATGCCTGATTTGAATAAGGCATAAAACATTTAAAAGTGTTTGCATATTGTTTCCAAGCCTTTACTTCCCTGAAATGATTTGCAAAAATTATGAAAAAGACTTTTATAGGAAGACTAAAAGTGCACCCCAGTAGGGATGCCGATTGGCCTCCACGTGCAGGTAATTGTGGGCATCCTATGCAAGGTGGGAGCAAAACCGGGGGGGGGGGACTCCCTGCCTCCCTGCTGAACACAGTTCTCAGCTAAAACTCATCACTAACCAATACTGCCTCAGCTATAGTCTTTTAACTGCTGCCACCCTTTCTATCTCAAAGTAACTCAGTAGCCCCATTCCTGTGCCACAGGCATTTATACTACTGCTAGACAACCTTTCAAACAGAACAAAATAGCGAGATATTGATTAATGGCAATTATTTATGACATTCTTCATATGCCATTCTTCAAATAACAGGCTGATACTGTGGAAAGTTTCTTAAATAAAATATGGTTGCTTACTATTCCTAAGCCAAGTATTTCCCAGCTAAATAAGATTTCTGTAGACTTTTCCTTCAAATCAAATTCCCATCTTCCATCCAAGCAGGGATGGATGCTACACAGGAGTTTTTCTCTGCCTCCAGTATGTTCTGCTTCTGGTGTCTGGGATGAGCCAGATGTTTCAGAGAGGACTTGCTGAAATTTCCTCTGATCAGACTCAGAACAGGAACCAGACAATGTTGGAACACACAGGAACACACTCTATGGTATGGGCTACTTGGTTTGCTCATGAAATCATTGTTAGTTATGTTAAAAGTGCATTCATATAATTATGACAACCCTGAGTTTACATTTACAAATGCCTAAGAATAATAATTTTATGAGCAATGTGAATTTTTCTTTAAAACTTTAACTTTAAAAACAGTTTTCCTCTTGCCAGGAACCCAGGCAGCTTACAGAGCCTTCCTCTTCACCATTTTATCTTCATAACAACCCTGTGAAGTAGGTGAGGGGAAAAGGCTCAAAGTTGCCCAGTGAGCTTCATGCCTGAGTGGGGACTAGAACCTGGATCTCCTGGAACCCAGTCTATGTCTGCCGTATTGACTCTTCAGATCTGTAAAGAGCAGTAAAACCCAAATGCTGCTTAATTTTCAACATGTCTTTGAAATTTCTGAAAATTATCCATCTCTGTGAGCATTTCTGCATCATCATACTGTGAGGTGTGAAATTGCTGCTAGACCTTCTGTTATTTGTTAGTGCAATGGTTTCTCAGCGGCTTTGAATTAATTTTAATTTCGTATATTAATATTTTTGCAGGATGTTTTTGTCTTATACTGGTTGTGAATGGCCGAGACTTTTAGCTGCTGGGCAGTATAGAAATGAATGAATGAATGAATAACAAAGAAGGTGAAATGAAGTCCTTTGTACATAGTGAGAATAGTGGCTACAAGCAAAAAGTCATGCAGAATTTCTCATTAAATAAGTTCAGCCCTTTGATAATTTCTGACAAACTACAAGAGCTAGATGGTTTTCTAATTTTTTCTCCCACATTCTCTAGGTAAAGTGGTAGAACAACAGACACTAAGATGAATGGATCTTATCAAAAAGGTGAAGAACTCATTGTATCAGCCCCAGTGTCCATCTTTTGGAATGCCTTGCTTATACAGAGCTTCTGTTATCTCAGTAGTTCAATGAAATAAAAGAGCATTCGATCTTTTTTTATCAGAAGGAAAAAATAATAAAATACCACTGAGCGGACTTCACTTTTTACATCCCCATAAATTCACTACAACAAACATGTGAATAGGAAATACAACTACACTGCCCAAACTACCCGAACAGCATTACCCGTAAAGTGCTCAGGGGCTGGATGTGGCCCATGCTGCTGAGGCCAACATCAAAAGTGTAATGTTGCTGAGACATGCATTACCAAGGCCAAAATGAAACAAATGTCAATATCCTTAAGAATCTGCAATTAAAAAAAAAATATTTAAGCGAAACCAAACATCAGGGAGCAGGAGTAAGTGTGCAGAAGGGAAGTGATACCTAAAGAATTCAGCTTAAGTTTAAGTGATGAAAATAAAACATGCCCATGCATTCCTTTAAAGACTGGTCCTTCCGTTCCAATGGGCCAATGAGTCTTCCCCAGTCTGTTGCCCTGCAAGCATTTGACTACAGCTCCCTCAGTGCAGCCACATCTGGAGGGTGCCAGGTTGGGGAACGCCAACCCACCCTTAATTCACACGAAGCAACTACAGGAGCATTTCACAAAGCATGTGTTTGGCCCCGACATGAAAAAGTTCATCAGGAGAGCTTTAAACTGAAACGTAGAGGGGAGGAAGATGTGCAGCATGGCATCCCATCACCTGACAAAGACGTATGTATTTCAACAGAGGAAAAAACCTCAGGCAGGGCCCAACACCAGTCTCCCCAAAAACAGAGGAAGAAAACCAAGGCACAGCAAGAATGAACTTCCATGTCTCTACACCTATGCACAGAGTATGGGAAACAAACAACATGAACTTGAACATACAGAACACACGGGCAATTACGATCTTATAGGAATAACGGAAACTTGGTGGGAAAACTCACATGACTGGAACTCTACTGTTGATGGATGCAACCTGTCCAAGAAAAATAGAAAGGACAAAAAGGGAAGTGGAGTCGCACCAAACATAAGAGACATGTATCTGCACAGAAATGCAAGAAGAGGAACTCAGTAGCCCCATTGAAAGCATCAGGTTTAATCTAAAGGGAGCAAAAAATAAGAAAAACAGTTACTGGTGTCTGTTGCTGACCATCCAGTCAAAGAGAGGACAAGGATGCAACCTTCAAAAAGCTTGTTGCCAGCATTACCAAGAACAATGATATAGTCTCCATCAGGGACTTCAGTTTCCCTGATATATGCTGGGAGACCATTTCTGGCAAACTTGGCCCCTCCAGGAGTTTCCTGACATGCATTGCCAACAACTTCCTCCAGCAGAAGGTAGAGGAGGGAACAAGAGGATCAGCTATCCTCTAATTAATACTAACAAGAATGACCTGGTGGACAAAATAGCAGCCACAGGAACTCTGGGGGAAAGTGACCATGCAATACTTGAATTCTCAATTATAAAGGAGACAAAGGTTAACTGCAACCAAACACGTAGCCTGGACTTCAGGAAAGCCAACTTTAAGCAAACTCAGAACAACGATAAGGAGTCTAAGAGAGCTGCAAAATTTTGAAAAAGAAGATTCTCCAGGCACAACTACAAACAATTCCAAGAAGAAAAACATGTAGAAGACAACAGAGGAAGCCCACATGGCTCCACAAAAATTGACAACCTGAAAAGAAAGAACATGTACAGGAAGTGGAAGCAAGGCCAGGCCACAAAGGAAGAATATAAATAGCAAGGAATTGTAGGGACTTTAACCATCCCTACACCAAGGGTATTTTCCCTCATTTCAAAGAGAACCAAAGCATGATTGCCTTGCATAGCTGTCTAACTAAGGTGCAGTGGGAAAATGCCAACAATAACACAACTGCAAGAAATTACCTTAAAAATTTATCTAGTTATTTCAAGTCAATTGTGACATCTGGCACAACACTGGACTTCACCAGCAGCGTTGTTTCTCCTTTTTCCTACCTCTTTGATCTACCCAAGTTGCTTTGTTATCTACCCCTAACCCAAGGTAACAAAGCTGGCAGTGGCAGAACAAAGGCAAAGATGTCAGAGACATGCACAGGGCTCCAGCAACACAATTCAAACATCTAGAAAAAACTGAAAACTGGCATTAAGCATGATTTTAATGGATGCAGAGTGCAGTTGCTCTGTCTGTCCCTTTGCACTTCCCTCAAGAAAGCTTAAGCCATAAACATTATAAGGACTGAGACGGCATGACAGAATAATGGGATTTTGTGGGATTTACATCTGAGTCAATTAGTATGGCACTGCACTGTCAAGGGCTGGCAGAGCAAGGTGCAAGGCAGAGTGATCAAGTCTCATTTTATAGGATTTAATTTTATTAAAGAAATTCATTATTACAAGTTAAAAGAAATGCAAGAGATTTTCTACTTTTTTATTGACTGAAGAAGCACTCCCACCAACATACTTATACGCCTTCCACTAACCACTGCATTTCTGACTACGGCTTAGGGGTTCCATGAACATTCAAGCCATGTCCTGTGAGCTTGTGTGCCTGCAATGCTCAGACACACGACCAGAGCAGCAGGACTCTGAAGATGGCAACTGGTACATGACTGCAACAGATAAAACCAAAGGACAACCATGCTTGGCAAATCTCTGCCAGATCACTCAGAAATCAATAGCCCGGAAGGAAGGCAGCATTAACCTTCTTCCACTCACCCCAATTTAGAGGTAGAATGTGCAATCTGATCGTAGGAAGAGGCTTAAAGCCATGTGCGTGCATGTGTGTAACATTCCCAACATCTGACACTGCAGTATAACTCAGTCATATACTACAGCCAAGCAAATGGATACAACAGCTACACAATCCAAGCCATTTTCAGAGGCATTCCCCATTTTGCTTTTTAAATGGAAACTGGAGAAATTAATTGCATCCAATGATTTTCTTACAAAAGAAATGGATAATTAGCATAAATCTCCCATACTCAGGAAACACACCAGTTTCCTAGTAAGCAGAGCTGGGGAGGGCAGAAAATAGATCTCCAGATGTTTTGGACTGGAACTCCCAGAAGCCACTGCCAGGATGATCAATGATCAGGAGGAGTGCTGGGAACCGAAACCCCAAAACAAAGCAGAGATTGACTTTCTTCTCACTCCTGCTTTAGCATGTGGAGCTTGCAGTTAAAGGCCTCTTGTGACAGTGCGATGCAAACTGGATGAACACAGGCAGTATCTCTTCACACGGCCAAAAGTTAGGCCACCACACATCGCCATGAATCAGTGGCTTCGGCAGAGTGAATCAGTGGTCCTTAAAATTTGCCTCTCTCTTCTCCACAAAGGCACTCATCCCTTCCTTCCGGTCGTCTGTTGCAAAGGTGGCATAGAACAGCCTCTTCTCCACTTTATTCCCCTCCGTTAAGGTTGTCTCAAAGGCAGCGTTCACCGCCTCCTTGGCCATGGCTGTCACCAGCTTGGAATTCTTGGCGATCTTTTCTCCGCAGCTGATGGCTTCCTCGAGGAGCTTCTCCACAGGGCAGACTTTGCTGACGAGGCCCGCCAGCTTAGCTTCCTGGGCCGAGATCCGTTCGCCAGTGAGGACCATTTCCATGGCCAGCGACTTGCCCACAGCCCTGGTCAGCCTCTGGGTCCCGCCAGCGCCGGGAATGGTGCCCAGGAGGATCTCGGGCTGCCCAAACTGGGCCTTCTCCCCGGCATAGATGATGTCGCACATCATGGCAAGCTCGCAGCCGCCGCCAAGGGCAAAGCCATTGACCGCGGCTATGACGGGCTTCCTGACGCTGGCCACCCGGTTCCAGTGCGCCAGGAAGCTGCCCCCGTAGCACTCCTGGAAGGTCCTGCCCTGCATCTCCTTGATATCCGCTCCGGCGGCGAAGGCCTTCTCGCTGCCGGTGATGACGATCGCCCCCACGGCCGGGTCGCGCTCCAGGGCGTCCAGGGCCTGGTTCATCTCGTCCATCAGCCCGTCGCACAGCGCGTTCAAGGCCTTGGGCCGGTTCAGCTGGATCACGGCCACATTCTGCTTCGCCCCTTTCTTGTCCACCAAGATGTACTGGAACTGAGCGGCCCCGGCCAGAAACCGACGCGGCGCCAGCGAGGGGGCGGCGGCGGCGGGCAAGAGGCTCAGACGGCGAAGGAGGAAGGCAACAGCCATGCTGGCGAACGCGGGAGGCGGAGCCCGTGGCTGCAGGCTCCGTGGCTCCTCAGCGGTACTTCTGGCTCCCAATTGGCAGCGCCCTCCATGTGCGGGGCTGGAGTGGCGGAAATACAGAGGAATCAAGTATTTTAAAAAGAAATCAAAGATTAAATCGCGGAGGGGAGCAGAGGCAGGCGGGAATATGAGGGTAGAGAGTGGAAAAAAGGCAGTATGGCTGGCTAAGAGGCTGCCTTTCGTTGCGTTACTTTAAAGGAATCCAAATTTCACCCACGCATTTCGAAACTCCACACAAAGATGCTTTCAAGGCAACGAACCTGACATTTGATGAAGTTCCCAGTTGTAGCTACAACGCTGGAGAAGCTTTACCCGCTGAATTTGTGCTTGCTGCAGAGGTTTACAAGCAGCCTTTTCTACCTAGTGTTCCCCAGGCACTTTGGACTAGAATTCCCATCAGCCCCAGTGAGCACATGCAATGGGCAGGAATGTTGGGAATTAGAGATCAAATAACATTGTGCACCAAGCTGTATGACAATCTGCAGCTTACACAATCAGGTACCCTTTCTTTGAAAATGTCGTGTCCTTTGCCCTCAGAGGTAGAAAAAAAAGCCACATAGAATTAAAACCAGAGCTAGTCCTCCTATGTCTTTAAAGAACTTGATACACTCACGCAGAGATCTAGGGGCTCAGCTACACTTTTGGCCTGTCGTTTTCGCTTTCTAACAAGTCAACCCGTTACAGCTTCCTCCAAGAAGATAATGCAACTTTTCATAGCCTTGTAAAGAAACTACGCCGCTTCTGTATGCAAATTGCACGCTTTCTCCCCGCCATCCAGCGTGCCTCGCGTACAGAGCGCTTCAATTAGAACCGGAAACAAAGATAGCGGGCGTCCTCGTTTTCTTGTACCCCTTTGAGCGGGGGCGGGCCGGAAGTTTCCGGAAGTGGCCGATGACGGACGGGAAGTGGAAGCGCTGTCTAGCCGAGGGAGGAAGTGCCTCCCGCTGGAGTTGCTCCTCGCCTCGGAGCCCCGCGAAGGGGAGCTGGCCGGGCAGGTGAGCGGCGGCGGCGGCAGCCTCTGGGGCATCGCTGCGCCTGGAGCGGGCGGGGGCGGGAGGGCCCAGTCGACGGCGGCTGCCGCTGTCCTCGGCGTCTATGAAGCGGCTCTCGCCGGCAGCAATTCGAGAGCCTCCCCGGGCTGCCCTCGGGTCTGCCCCTTCGCTGCTGGGGGCGAGGGGGTCGTGGAGGCGGCGGCGGGATCGGCGGCAGCACAGCGGCTGACACCTTTGGGGGCCCGGCTCGGGCCTGGACGCCCTTCGCCTTTCTTCCCGGCGTGCAGGTTCGGGGCCTATTTGCAGCTGGCGCCCAACTCTGCCTGCCTGCGGAGAAACTCCGCGTCCTTTCATGGGACGCTTCCCGATCCCCGCCGCGGGTGGGGGCGAGAGCGTGCGCTTGAAAGGCTGGGCTTGTTCCTGCCGCCGCCGCTGCCGTCGGGCGAGATCGAACTAGACGTAAGCGGGAAAAGAGGAGGTACGGAGGCAGCTACAATACTAGCTCTTTCTAATCTCTTCTGACTGCCTGTCTGTCTTGGGTTCGCGTTCCCTTTCCGGTATTTTTGGTTATCTCCCAAAGGGACCAATCGGGAGCATCGACTCGCTTATTTCCCTCCTCTTTCTTTACATTTCACACAGAGGTTAATGGTAATGATGACCTAGATTGCCATTTTCTTCTTAAATAAGGTGAGGGAAGAGCGAATTGGTGAATGTCTTGGGCCAAGCATGAAAAAAAATCTTCAAAATATATGCAACTTATTTTATAAAAGAGTTGTTTGTGCATTACTACATTTTTAATATTTTTATTATATTTGTCCCACTTCTGTAACCAAACCTGCTTGGGCATTCACAGAATAAAAATTAGATTCATAAAATGTGTAGCCAAATAAAACATAATATGGAGCCCCAAAAGTTTTGATTCTGCTTGGTAGTCATTTTAGATTTGAATAGGAAGAGACATAAATAACTTGTAACCAATAAAACATGACTGTTGCATTAAAATACTAATTTTTAAAATAACGGTTAAATAAAAAGGTTTTGACCTGGTGCCGAAAAGAGTATAAGCTTTAGACAAGACTGAGATGCTCTTAGTGGGTGGTTCTTCTGAGCATATGCAGGGAATTCAGTCTGTTCTGGTTGGGGTTGCACTCCCCTTGAAGGAGCAGATTCGTAGCTTGGGGATGCTTCTTGAGCCGTCTTTGTCACTTGAGGCCCAGGTGGCTTCAGTGGCTTGTACTGCTTTCTCCAAGCTTCAGCTGATGGCTCAGCTGTGCCCCTTGTTGTTGTTAGTCGCAAAGTCGTGTCCGACCCATTGTGACCCCATGGACAGCCTGGTTTCAATCATCTGTGTTCTGGTAATCTCTCAGTTAGATGACTGCAATGCAACGATGTGAGACTGTCCTTGAAACCTGTTCAGAAACTGCAGTTTGTACAAAATGCATCAACCAGATTAATAGCAGGAACCAGATGGTCTGAACATACAACATTCTGGCCTGCTTTCATTGGCTGCCTGTATGTTTCCAAGCACAATTCAAGGTACATGGCTTTAGGACTACAATATCTGACATAATGCCTCACTCGGCTGCAATCTACCTGAATGCTGTGATCAGGATCCAGGAGCCGCCTCTGATTGCTACCTCCAAGGGAGGTTTGGTGGTGGTAGCAGCGGCAGTAAAGAGAAGAGACTTTTCAGTGGTGACCCCCCCCTCCCCAGTTATGAAGCAGGCTCCTCACTGAGGCCCATCAGGTGCCAACTTTAATATCTTTTTGGTGCCAGGTTAAAACTGCCCTCTAACACAGGACATTTAATTAAGTTACAATTATATTGGGGCTTTGTTAGCTGCTTTAAAAAGTCTTATGATTTAATTTGTATACAGATTGCCGCTTTTTTGTATTCGTTTTAAATTTGGCTTTAAACCTTTGTATGATAGTCTTTTGTGTGTGCTAATTGTGGTTTTTATTTTATTTTGTATTTTTATGTGTTGCAAACAGCTTTAGTTATTGAGTGGTATAGACAATAAATAATGATAATAAACATAATGGAAATCTTACATGAGAGATCCTTGTTGGATTCCATTTACTAAGGGTGCAATTTTGTGGTTACTGGACACTGTCTAGACTGTTATGATGTGGGCTGGAGTTCTAGTTCTAACCCCAGAAATGCATTCTGAGGTCAGAGCTGGAACACAGATTTTGGTGCTCCTTTCTTCTGCTCACATAGCTGGCATGAGGTTCCAGCAGGGCACAAGTGGTGCCTCAGCCCCTTCTCCTGTCCAGGCCAAAATTAGCTCTGCATGCCTTTTGCAGGGTGGGAAAAACATGCCTCTGAGTGCCTCCCATGCTTGATTACGTACTCATAATCAGGGTTCCAGAGCTGGCCAGCCACATGCGATGGTGCCCTCCTTTTCTAACCAGCAGATTTCTTCAGACTGTTTGTCCGATGGGATATTTTGTATGTGAGAAAGAGCATAATGTGTATCTTCCCAGAAATATGATTTTATGTGTGCCCTATTTATTCTTCCCTACTTTCATGGTAAGGGAATGTCTTGTACTGGTTTTTGCTATATTGATTGAAATATATGATCTCCATTCTGCTACTTTCTTTTTTAGTTTCTATATGATAACTTGGATGATTATATCTCCCATCTTAACAATTTTCTTTTTCAGATTTAGTATATCTGCCTTCAACACTGACCACTGTAGTTGGCAGGCATCACCAAAATGGGACCTAGACGGAAAAATGTGAAAGTATGTTTCACAAATAGGGAAGGCCCCGTCTTTATCAAAGCTGCTGAGCTGAAGGACTATATGAACCAGCTTTCACACGAAGTGCTTTGCCATATTTTTAGGTAGGTTGGAAAATGTGGCTTTGTTTTGGGTGCTTTCTGCTAATCACCTATACCTGATGACAAGCAAACAACAAGAAACAATATTCCCAATTTTGGAAGTGTGATAATGCATGCCTACGTCCAGTAGCTTCCACGTGGACTTGTGGACTCCAAACACTGCTGAACCAGGTTCTTAGAATAGTTGGTGCACATAAAATATTGGCGCCAGATTTAAAGCAGATCAACTACACTGGTGGAATTGGACTTCCACACCCTTCCCTGTGGCAGCTCCTCCAGCACCTTGAAAATGCTGCAGTCAGAAGGGCAGCTCAGTAGGGTGGAAGGGGATCCTCAAAAATGGGAGAGAAGGAACTTACAGAAGTGGAGCTATTGCTCTGAGAAAAAGCAGATCCAGGAGAGAACCCAAACAGATAAAACAGTGATTTGCCGTGTGTCATTATGTATCTGTGATATGTCAGGTGGAGAAGAAACAGATATTGTCTTTTCAGCTTCAGTTGGGCATTAAACTGTTTTGTTCCTTTCAAAAGCTTTTTATGTAGCATCCACAACTGTGATACAATAAATGTTTTGTAGATTGCACATTGGTTCATGTTTTTAGGAAATGCATTCTTTGGACAAGATCCTTCTCACCACATTGATCTTTCATTGAGTTAGGCTGACCTAGATGTAGTGTAGTGTCTCTAAAATTATGAGAGTTGGGCGTAACAGTCATGATGAGACCTGAAAGAATTGTGTGTGATGTTTGCTTATTATTAACCTAACTGTACAGTAAATAAAGAGAAATCTATATAGCTTGGCAAACATAGAAATTGTCCAGATTCTCCAAAAACATCTCCTTAAATTTTCTAATGGAGTGAAAAGCAGTGTTGGCTGCAGTTGTGTTGTCTATGGTCAAACTAGGTTTGATATTTGAATGGCCTACATATTTGACAGTCTTGTTAAACCACTCCACTTTTTTTTCCCACTGCTGGTTTTATTCCATGCTATGACTGAGTGTGGTCAAGTACGGCATCATCTGTATTGTTGTTTGGCAAAATAGTCAGGAAAAGAAGTTACCCAAGGATTAACTCTGATTTTCCCTCCTTGTGAAGGTATCTTCCCCTGCAGGATATCATGTGCATGGAATGCCTGTCTCGGAAGCTAAAGGAAGC